ACAGATTGACAGGAATAAGGTAGTTCTTGCACCAACAAGGCGATTTCCAAAGAGCAATCAGCCAACAACTGGCATATCTCAGCATGGTGAGCAGTGTGTCCTCATAAAATCTGAGGAAACTGGACGAGTAGAGGACAAAAGAAGGAAGTATCAGGTCTAAAAAGCATCTACACCAGATGAACAGCATCTCAAAGTTATGTCTTTAAGAAACGGGGGGGGGAAAATCCATCAAAGAAAAGAGCGATGCATCTTGCGCTTCAGGTGATCCATTACTGTTTACTGAAGCCTCATTAGAAATGGTCTCAGTGGAGGGATGGCTGTCAAGAAGCCATTTTTAGGGAAGGGAAACAGGGAGAAAAGGCTGAGATATGCCAAATTACACAAGAACTGGACTGAAAATCAGTGGCAACATGTCTTGCAGAGTATTAATCCAAACTTTGAAATTTGGATGTGAAAATGATAGGTATCAGCATGCGATACCATCTGGAAAGCGTCTCGTTGGCAACAGCTTCATTTTTCAGCATAACAATGATCACACATTGTCAAAAATGATACCTGCACAGAAACACACAAAGGAACGACTCCTTTTTGTGAAGTGGCGTAAACATAAGACCTTGCAAGTTGTTCTGGGTCACCTTTCCAAACTCATCCCGCTGTGTCTGTAAGCTCATTGTATATCAGAATGCAGACACACAACACTACAGCAAGCTTTCAAACAGTACTTTAAGCAGTTTTTTTAAAGGAAAAAGGAAACAAGAAGTACTTCAACATTAATTTGTTAGGTTTATATTTAGTACACACAACTGAAACCAATAACAAACGTGCATAAAAAGAAACATGCCTCTTTTCAATACAAAAATTTCAATCAACGTGGACGTGTTGGTTTGATAAATATACAATCAATTTACAACCCAAAGCACAACATATGTGGAATCCACTGTGAAATGGCAACAATCTATGCAAAACTTTGGGGACTGTAGAAATTGATGAATATATGGAATATTTGCTATAACAATGTTATGCCAAGCTTGACTAATTCATTTATTTCTAGTTTATATTGATACAATAATCACTGAGTGGTCTAAATTACGTTCCCCAATGATTTCCTGTATTCCCTTTGCACAGAAATAACACAACTGAAATGGAAGTATTTCTGATAACTGTATAGACATGATGGAAATCCAGGTAGGGTATTATGTTTCTATACCATACTTAAAGTGGAAAATCTAATTATATTTCTCTTGGTAAATAGGTCATAATGGCATCACGAAACTAGATGTTTCTGGAAAGAGGGGGAAATAAATCCCTTTTGAGACCTCTCTTCCACTTCTAATGCATCCACATACAAAGACTGCTTTAAGACGCTGTCTGCAGTGTCCATCACTTATGTTTCTTCAGGCTTGGCCATAACCATAAATCCAATAGGTTGGATACGTTAATATGGATACCTTTTTTCCCTTTCTCCATCACCTTTCCCATCCTATCCGAGCAATCGCCCACGCATACACACCAAAATAAATAAATAAATAACCCCACACTGGTACAACCAAGCAGTCAGCCAAGGATAGCTGTCATTCAGTCAAAGTTGTGCTCAGGCCACAGCACTTCCAATCTCTCAACGGGGATTTGTGAGACTGTGACTGCATGACAACCACTCTCCACGCTGTCTGTCTGCTCCTCTGTCTCTCTGCCGTCTGTATCTTTTAAAAGTCGTTTATAAATATGTTCAGATTCATATTTGCCCTCTCTCTCTCGCACTTCTTTACTCACTCGTGGTAGATGTGCATGCTCCTCTGACATAATCTATTTCTCCTTTGCTTGCTTTGTACTGTTTAGCCACTAATGGACCTGCCTGTGTACACTGAGCTGAGGAAGCAGTGATAATAAAGGCTGTAAAGTAATCTCACAACAGTTTACACCCGTCTCTTAGGATTATCTCGTTCATTATCTAAAGCTGGAGCTTCTGGTCTGCATGTGTATGCGTGTTTATATGTGTGTGCATGGGAACCATGTGTTGGTAAGACACATACAGCAACATCTGACAGATTTTCACTGTTCTGAGCAAAACCCAACATTTCTTGATGTATAAACGACTTCAGATAACAATAAGGACTCTAAAAATGAGAGTTCTCTTGTGGCTGCAAAATATTTTCAACTTAATAAGATTAGATAGGCTTTACAGTATTTTTCCTGTTGGTTACGGTGTAACCTGCTCTGCATTCCTGTGCATTTACATCCTCCGTAGACCTTCTTATGCCATTGCCGTCCATACAATGCTCAGATTTCCTGTTAAACATCCATAACATGTATAGGATATAGTTGCCTGATTAATGTGTTGTACTATATCAAAGTTCTGTTTCATGCTTTATTCACGCTAAACTAGTTTCAGTTATACTTTTGTCAAATATCCAGTCTAGTATTAAGCATTTTTGTTAAAAATTGTAAATGTGCGTGTGCTTCTTTTATTCAAGTTATCAAAGTGCATGAGTCTTTTACAGTTTGTGGGCCCTCGCCATGCATGAACTGAATCTGAAGCAGAACACATGCTGGACCGACCGAAACACGCACAACTTGGATGCAAGTGTAGACCAGCAGGCTGTGGTCACCAGTCTATCTCTACATGTCATCCTATTCTAAGGCCGTGCAGTTATTTAATTTTGCTGTGTCTGCAACCAGTGATTTGGACCGAACAAGCATTACATCATGGAAAAAGGTTTCCGATGCCCACTCACATTTAGAGCATGATATCACTCTGTCTCACACTGCTGGTGTACACTGAAAAAAAACCCACACAGTGATATATACATGTAAAAGTCCAAGCAGACACGCACAGTGGCAAAGCTATAAACACTGGTCAGAGGTTATTTAATGCACTAGTGTGTATTTAGACAGCGTCATTTAGACCTCAAAGGCTATCTGACACACCACAGGACACCTGAGCTCTTGTGCTTCTGTCCAGGGAGCATGATGCTTACTCATCCTTCAACCACAGTTACTCATACCAGCCGAGGCAAAGATCACAAGGTGTTCTATAACTTGATCCAGCATTAAGCAGTATATTATTTCGATGGCCGTTCCTGTGAAGTGATTGTGTTGATATTTACATGGTAAAAGTAAATACCCTGGAGTATGAAATAAAGTTTTAATTTGCAGTTTATCATCATATACATTCAAATATTTTGCCAACTGTATGCCAGATGGCTATATTTTACTTTCCTGTGCAGGAAGGGATATCTAAGAAGGGGTAAGAGAGCCAAGATAATATGTCATAATAAGTGATTTTATGTCATCATAACTTTTCTTAAATGTTAAATGAGTGACATCAGCTACTATCCTACAAATTAGCATGCTGTGACATAGGAATCTTGTGCATATTAAGAATTGAAGTATTTATGGAAATATATTTATAAAAAAATACAATATTCTGAATTTTGTACCTTGTGAAACTAAAAATAAAAATGAAACAAACCCCAAAAAAGTCCCTGCTCTTGAAGGGTGTGTTGCACTTAGGCTTCAGTTGGCGTTTATTTATGTGTTTAATGACGCCATCAAAGTTCAGCTCACATTTCTTTGCCAAAGGTTAATAAATATTATGTCAACATGTTAAATGTATTACATATATGTGTTGATTACTTGGTCGGTTTTTTAAAATAAACAAGCGAATTGAAACTTTCATCTCTACATGCCGCTTTCGCTCCCCCTGAACCACCATTTGCTATTACCGCAGTGTGTATCTTCCTCGTGACATGTCAAAACACCAGATAGATTTTCTACTTCTGCCTTTATTTACATTTGATAGTGCACATATGATGCCCTTCGGAGCTTTTCTCACTGACCTTCTGCAGCATTCCAAGCAAGTGATGCACCAAATTACTGCAAATAAAGTTTAGACTGTTAATATACACAGCTCAGTGTGCTGACAGCAGTGTTTTGGGTTGTTTGGGGTAAATCGTAGGAGGCTGGGTGGGTATACTGGGGTGAAGTTAGAGAAAGGATAACAGAGTGTGTGTTGAGCGATTGAGCTGCCTGCGCCCTTAGTTTGGGGTCATTTGGAAGCGATGCAACAAAGCTTTAAGAAAGTGCGAAGGCTTGAGGATTAGGCAACTTAACACATTTTACTGAGGCGCAGTCTTGGAAGAAAAATGCACTAAAATAGTATAAACTGAACTGTGTTATGTACAAAAGAAATATGTGGTGATGTTTAGTTTTAGTCATGATTCAGCTTAGCCAGGCGAGGGGGGTTAAAATATTGCAGAGGTTTAACTTACAGCTTAAAGCCCCCGGCCGTTCTGGTTGTACATGATATTTAGAATATTGACAAATAAGCCATATTAACCATAATGACGTGCACAATATAAAATTTATATCAGATTTAGTTTAAATTTAGTTTAGATTTATTTTGAAACATTGCATGTCTGCAATGTCTTAGATTCGACAATCTTCTGCAGACGCTATTATATGAATGGATGATCTTTATTGTCATTATACATAGCACAGTGAAATTCTGTGTGGCTTCCTCTTAAGTTAAAAATTATTTTAAAAATAAAATAATAAAAAAAATGGTAAGTTATTAAAGATAAAAATACACTTAGCACTGACAGAGCAGGAAAACAGCAGCATTATACACAATTTAGCCAGTTTCAGTATCGTTAGCTAATTAAAATGTCCTCCCTGCCATATGTATGTGTTTGTGTTGAAGCGCGTGAATATTTCTGTGCCGTGTTTACACTCTAGTGTGGACTATGGTGGAAATTAGGGTGGTGGAAATCACCACTCAAGGGTAAATCTGTTCCTGTTCCTGAGCCTGTTCTTGTGGTTTTTTTGCCCAACTGCTTTTTTGCTGGCAAACACACAGATTGTATACTGGTAACATAGATGGATTCCATAATACACCAGTGATTACCACAATAACAATAATTATCATTAATTCCTGTACACTTGTCTAACTGATCGAGAAACTGTGCGTATTGACTCTATGGGTTTGCGTTGTGTTGTCCCAGCTGGTCTGTAGGAGAGTGGGGGGTGTGCAGCCGAAGCTGTGGAGGAGGGGAGCAGACTCGGCAGGTCCAGTGTGTCCAGAGAACCAGCCAGACTGACGTGGACACCCTGGCTGACTCTCGTTGTGCCCAGCCGTCCCCGGTCAGGAAGCAGACCTGCAACACACACAGCTGTCCACCGGTTTGGACAACTGGGTCGTGGTCGCAGGTGAGAGTGTGAAACTTTAATGCTGTTTGTTTACGCTGCTGGCACGTTGCTGCTGAAGAACACAGCTTGAAAAACCCCTTTGAAGTCATACGCTCGCCCAGTAAGCCCTAAAGAGCTCTGCACATTGTGTTGTGAAGTTCGCCCTGGCTTTAATGGCTTCACCACATTTTATGACAGTGATCTCAGTGGCTTTAAACTATGAATGTGCCCGCTGAGACCTCCAGGGTTTTGTTCTCTGTCCAAATCCTATACATTCTGTGTGGTGACTTGTCTCAGTGTAACATTTTAACTGCCGTTTTACACCAAATATCGTCAACGACATGGCACAAGTGGTGTCCAGTTCGCTCTCCCCCTGGTAGCTTGTGGCACAGTGTAGTGCGTCACAGCCCCGTGTTTATTGGCTGTAGTGAATCACTTCAAGATTTAGATTGTCCCATTAGCTGTTTCTAGAATAAAAAAAGGATATTGAGGGAATTGCTGGAGTACCTCAAAGGAATTATTAAGGCAGTAAAGCACAGTAATCCATTGTGTGGTGACTATGCTGTATAGCAGCTTTTCTGAAATGCTATTTGTGCATAGCTGGTCTGTTAAGATGTTTAGCATGTGACATTTCCAGCCAGGTAATAGCTAAATTAAATATGTCAAACTCTCAATTAATTTTGATCAATTTGTTCCTTCTGCTTGAAAGAAGGTGGAAAAAAATGGAAAGAAATTCTCAAAAAACCAGTTTAGTCTACATTTTTATGTCTTTGTTAATGGATGATAAAAATGTGTGTAACACATAACAAGGCTTTGACAATGCTGGAATATAACATGACAGTTTGGACCTAACTATGATAACAAAGATTGTTAATACTGTAGCATTTAAACCAACTGATCAGCCATTAATTAAGAGAAAGCTTTGCTCCAATACCTAAATGCAATCAGATATCATGTTTGTTTTTATTTGGCAGTGTTCGCGTAAGTGTGGCAATGGTTTGAAGAAGAGGACTGTGCTGTGTGTGAGCTCTAACCCGGGTGCCCAGGCACACACGCTGCCCAACAGCAAGTGCGCAGGCCTGCCAAAACCTGCTGGTCAGGATTCCTGCTTCATCAGACGCTGCCAGAAACAACGCAAGGTCCAGTGGTTTGTCTCCACATGGCAAGAGGTAAAATGAATAAAACAGCACTTATGCAGTATTTAAATGTATTTTTAGCTAATGTGAATAAGCTCTCTGTCTCTGCTCTGTTCCACATCCAGTGTTCAGTAACATGTGGTCGTGGCTATCAGGCACGCTTCATCAAGTGTGCAGAGAAGGTGTGTATTGTGTGTGTGTTTGATCAGACACAGCAAAAGGTCATTTTTCAGTGTCATAATAATTCGCTGCATTTAAATTCTCTTTAAATTCCAATTTGTTAATATTATTTTAATTATTTGCTTTTGTGTTTCTAAATTGATTTGTTGGAGGTTCTTTATTATATAATGGCATCTATAGCTTTAGTGAATTTATCTATTTCATAATAAAGGACACTGCAGGAAAATACAGAGAGCTTGCTCCCAAGAAGTGCCACCATGTTCCCAAACCCATAGTAGAGCTTCAGAAGCCCTGCATCCTGGCTGAATGCCCTGTCCGCACAACGCAATCAGTGCACTACCAATGGAAGACGCATCATCGGAGCTATCCAGCCCACCCTCCACCTCGGCCAGAATGGCGCTCGTCTCCTTGGTCTCAGGTATCAGCAGAATTTCCACTTTGGTAATATAAACAAGAGGAGGGAGCGAATGTGTTGCACAAAGGAGATTCACAGTATCTATAATCCGTTCCTTGTTGCTTTGCTCTCCGCAGTGCACGGTGACATGTGGAGGAGGAGTGCAGGCCAGGGCGGTCCAGTGTCTGGCGGAAGAGAAACCTTCCACCGGCTGTGCCGTCCATCTCAAACCTGCAGTGTCCCAGGCCTGCAATACCAACTTCTGTCCACAACCTGAGAAGAAAGGTACCAGTGCTCTTATTCTCTCAAAAGATCTCCCAAAAAAGAAAAAGAATTTCACTTTTTTTTTTCTCTTCTTTTTACACAGAACTTGCATGTCAGGATTACTTCAGCTGGTGTTACCTGGTGCCCCAACATGGAGTCTGCAACCACAAGTTCTATGGCAAGCAGTGCTGCCAGTCATGTTCAAATTCAAACCTATAATCCTAGGACGTGACTCAGTCCGCTGTACAGGCAGATAGGTAGTTAGTCAAAAGACTGCAAAACATGGTTGTGGTTTTAAGCATGCGGCGAGCACTGAAATACAAAGCCTTTTCTTTGGAAGTGCTCTTCATTTTCTCTCTGCGATGCCGGACATCTGGATACAAGAACTTGATGTTGACAGCACTACACAGGAATGTGATCGGGAAAAAACAAATAAAGACAAGAATTATGTGGAGGAACTAACAAAATAGTAATCGTGATTAAAGCAAATAGGATGGACATGTCTAAAAGAAACTGAAAAATCCCAGCTTTGTTTATATACTGTAGCTGAAAAGATCTGTACTCAGGACACTCAGCATCTCTCAGTCAACCAAAGGCCAACGATGGCAAACCAACAAAGAAAGACGTCTTCGAGCGCTGCCACGCAACATGTGATATGCCCTGGTCTGCGCTGCAGACCCTGATGAATTGACAATCTGTGGTTTCTTAATGAAAAGGGACGTTTCAAAGAGACGATAAAGGTATAAATACATTTTGCCTTGAGCTTAATTTTTTTTAATTAAAAAAAAGAGAACAAAAATGACATGCTAATCAATGTGTATTTCTTTAATAGCTGGGCAGTTGCCATGGAAGTTGTCATGTAAAAGTAAAAAAAGAACAGAGCACAAATCAACTGCATCATCAGATGCATATGTTTTCTGTGACGGGATAAGTCTGCGCGATGTGGCTTTCCTTCCAAGTGGTGCTACAACTTTGTCGCATTGAATTCATGAAATCAGTGTGAAATGTTCAAGCTTCAGGAAATAACAAATGAATTGTGTGACCCGTGTACAGTATTATTTGTTTTATTTATTGGCTTTGCAATGCAGTGTTTCTGGAAAACTGTATGATTAATTATAAATGTGTCCTTGTATTACTCTACCCTAAGCCCATTACCTTAATATGTGTTATTAATTTTCATTACATGCTGTCAAACTGCACCTTTTTATGCAAAACCTTTATTTTATTTTTTAAAAGAAAGCAGCTGTCAAGTGAAATCACTAACAAGCCATATCAGTGTGTTGTTTAATGTGTCCTACATTATTATACATGACATTAGCATGCATTTATATGGCACAAAAATGCGTTACATATCAATTACATTTTAAAAGCACTGATGGATGATAGGTAATACTATTACAATATGATTTTTTTTACGGTGGTAATGAAATAAGATAAACAAAATGTGTAACTACAGGAACATGAGCCCCGATTTCATCATTTTTAGCTTTAAGTTGGACAGAGTATCTTTCAGGGGGGGATAAACTTGAAACTCTAAAAGGACTCCTGGAGAAAAGCAGAAAAACAAATATTCAGGATGGAAACTTGATCGCTTGACTCATACAACTTTGGCTACAGTCTTCAACTGGGCATGGCGCTGTCATCATGCCTTTACAGAGGATTAGGATTGCACCATATCACTGACATCACTGTCACCATTGTTCCACTCTGCCATAGCGGGGGTTAGTATGTCTTTTGCATTTCTCTGGCTTCAAAATACAGATTTATAACTTTTACTTGTAACAGCTGTAATGTATATATGTACATTTAAACATCTTAACTCCAGTCTTTGCTTCTATTTATTATTTTCCTTCCAACATAAGTAAGATTACATGGTAGTTCACTGCTTTACCTACCTACTCAACTTTGATGGAATGTCTTTTCAGTACAGTTAGTTCAGTTCAATGCACTAAGCTACTAAATTACTTTTTGGACAAAGCAATTGTATTGCTTTTGCTTTACTCCACAAAATGACCTGAAACACATTTTCGCTTAATTATCAGTCAGAAATAAAAACTTTAGGCTACAGACCCGCACAATGACTCAAATTCCTATCCTAATTTTTATCCATATCCCAATGTCATCTTTGTTTTAGTTTTTATTTATGAACACAAAGCCGGCAACACAAAGCAAAGATGAAACCTGGCCCAAAGTATGGTGGCCCTGAGAGGTCAAACACACTGTGACTCAAGAAAACATCAGCAAATATAAAAATGCTGTAAGAGCTCGCAATACCCAATGGAAGTTGAATAAAACAAGTAAGAAAAACAAAACAAAAAAACTCAAATAATACAAAACACAACTCAAGTGTTTTTTGGAGATAATAACTTGACGGAACAGCTGTGGAAGAGATAGAAACCACAAAGGTTTGCACTGAGACGCTTAAAAGAAGAGATGGTTTCATCTGTGTTGTGAGTGAGGAAAAACATGCAGGTAATGTGTGTTTTAGTTGCATTTTTCATATAACAATGTGGATACATGTTTGCTATGAGCTGTTCAGTTTCGTATCTGGTCCGTCACATTATTGTCTCCCCCCAAAAACACTTCTGCAGTTTTTTTGTGAAGGTTTTGGACTGCATATTTTTCTATTTGCTGGTGTTTTCTAAATTTACGGTGCATTTGACCTTCTTTTAAAGAGACTTTAAAGCGAACGCCAGGGTGATATGTACGTGTAGAAATGGAGGTTTCAGTGCTACAAGTCTAAGTGCCTTTTTTTCTGCTGAAAATCTGCCCCTGGCTGCTGGGCTGGAAGGCTTAGCCTTGACATGTTTCTGGTTTCTTGCCTAGCTATGTGTTAGCATACTGTCTGTGCAGATGCTTTTGCACAATATTAATAAAAATCATTTTCACAAGCACACAAAGTGAAATCAGCTGATTGCAGGACTGTGTGTAACTTATACTGAAAATGTAATGCCATTACAGTAACACATTCATTTGCACCCAAAACGTTTTTAATGTTTGGTTTCATATTTTCTTTAAATACATTTTTTTAAAATAATTTTTTAATATTACTTTGTTCTACTCAATTGATCCGATCTGACTTATGTTTGGTCAGACTCTCCCATAATGAAGTAGATCTTGAAACAGAGCCAAGGGGAGGTTCAGGACAAAGGGGAGGTCCTTCCCCAAGCTATATAGGAGATATAGCTGGATATATAGCTATATAGGATGGCCTACTCCGGCTTAATTTACATTGTCAATAGCACAAATATGGCTCCGCTCCAGAGTGTTATGTGTATTCATCCTGTTTCACATGCACTGTTTGAAAATATAGCTATTACCATAATAGCAGTGAGCCTTCATCTGTAGCTTTACTATATGTCTGTGTCTTTAAATATAGTTGGTGGACTCAATATTGTAATCTGAAGTTTTGCTAACACAATTTGAAGCAGATAAGAGCTAGCCTTGTATTTCATATCCCATATGTAACTAGTATGTCTAATATGCTGTTATGTTCCTTCAGTGTGTACAGCTGACATCATATTATATCATTAAAGTTGTATGGTTGAAACTGTGGCGGTAACCCTAGGAAGTTGATTGTGTTCATCTGGACGTTGGGTTTTCGGTGGTTGCTGATCCAAGTGACGTCTTCAGTCTCAGAGGTAACTGTGTAGAGGTATCTTTTTTCCTTAGTCATAATGCAACTCTTCATGTAATTTACCTGTGCTGACCAATGACTGTAGAAAACAGGTGTGACGTTCATAACACAAGGAACAACTCACTGAACTAATACGAACTAAAATAGTTCATATTATGTTCTGTTATTTTAGGCACATAAGTGCCCCATTATAATAGGCCTGATGGCATTATTGTATGAACCTAGATCCCATATATCATTTTTGTTTGTTTGTTTATTTATATTTCTAGGTAACAAGTATAATTTGTAGTTAGGCAATGGTGTGAAGTTTAAAAAACAGATTTGATTTGATTACTAAACATGCTGAAGTGAGAGGTCTGACCTGCTCAGCATGCTTCATGCTTTTGAACCAATGTCTAAACCACTTATGTGACAGACTAACACATCAGAACCTCTGGCTGTGCAGCTGGTGAAGACCAACTATAATTTCTAAATCAAAATGTAGTGATTCCTTGTTCTTCTGAGGTCACTCTTGCAGTTATGTGCAGGTCTTCCTTGAGCCTTTATTACAGCATTATTTTGATACAAAATAGATTTATTGAGCTGTTCATTGGTAGCCCAAAAAATTGATTCTATTCAAGTACAGTTTTGTTGTTGTTGTTGTTGTTTTTTTACGTGCTTTGAATGTGTACTTGTGTCTGTGTAGTCATAGCTGAGGCCACTTCAGCTGCTAGTACTTGTGTCTTCACTTACTACATTAAAGAAAGTGAATGGAAAAATATCCTGTAGCTTTTTAATACCTCCTCTCTTTAGCCTAAAAAGATTTACTTATTACTGCATGTACTACAATATAGCTTACACCTTCAGTCTGTATTACCATCAAGCTGTAATTCCATGCAGAGTCAAGAAATGTTAAGTATAAAAAACTGCAATTCAATATCGGACTATCTTTGCATCGTTTATTTTAAAATACCTAGAAATCTGATTTTTTTTCTAGCTCCTGGAGGTTGTAGATATCTAGGATAATTGGCTCATAGGAAGATTGCTGCTATAGACAAGAATTCAATTCATGTTTATCTATTACATCACAACACAGATCACCTCTTTTGCTGTGTCACACTGCAGGTATTTATTAAAGTCAAAGGACTCCATTTGAAACACAGCCAGGTGTGGACATTAAACTATAGGAAAATTATGTGTATTGTCCTTAAGATTGTTCATTTCTCTGCTGATTACAGACACCAAATAATAGACTTAAACACTGGAACACTTAAACTTAAAAGTAATAATCCAGCCTTCATCTTTGGATGGCTCTAGCTATGGTGAAGGTGGGACTCTACAAAATAATAATGCAGTAAAAAAAAAAAAGATTAGCTTGATATGCACAAAGCACATCAAGCTGATTTTAATAGAACTTTAATGAACTATATTTAATTATTTACAACTAATTACAGCTATTTACTTTACTTTTACTTTTACATGCCAGTAAGTTCAAATTCAATGGACTGGCTACAGAAAACATTTTAATTTTCAGTTACTGGATATTCTTTTAATGCTAATGCTATCTGTAACTATCCTTCCTGGGCTTATTAAAATCATCTAGAAATAAATGAAAGTATTACTCTTGTCAGTACAGTATTGCTAATTTACAGTTTATTCATATAATACTCCAAGATAAGGTCTTGCTAACGCCCTACCTTGCATTTCCTAACAGCAGGCGATGAGGGTATAACTGGGCATCCATCTGTTGACTCTGTGACTGCTTGATATTTAGGAGTTCTTTTGAACCCTTTTCAACAGATTATGTACTATAACAACGCTCAAAAGAAATATTGCATGATTAGATTTATAGAACAGCAAGCAGAGAGCTAATCCTGAGATCTAGTTCTCAGGATTCAACAGAGTGCTGCATGTAAGCCAGAACACAGGCTAACAGTAATGCCAATGTGGTATTAGCCATTTCAACACCTATGACATACTGTATCAGGGCTTTGCTCTCTTCTCATTTCTCAACAAGTCAAGGAGACACAGATGCCCAAAACAAAATAACCATTGTCATAATCCCTGGGGCACCGTTACAAGGACCTTCAGCTGGACAGTGAAGAAGGAAATATAAAGAGTGTTAAAAGTAGGAAGAAATCATGTAGAAAGTAAAGTCATTTTTTAAAGTCATTGGCTCGCTCCAGGCAAAGAAAATGTGTGCCTAGACA